CGCCCCGCCGCCCTCCCAGGCGGCAGCCGAGGCCGGCGCCCCGCGCGTGGCCGCGCTCCCGTCCGTGCACAGGGATGTCCAGCCCCTGCCGCGGACCTGCTTCATATTCCAGGGGCCCTTCGGGCTCCGGGCCACCGGCCTGGGCACTGACAAGGCGGCGGGCATCTGGAAGACGCCGGCTGCCTACATCGGCCGGCGGCCCGGGGTGTCGGGCCCCGAGCGCGCCGCCTTCATTCGGGAGCTGGAGGAAGGTAAACGGCGCTGGACGAGGGGCAGCTCTGGGGAGGTGGGCTGCCGGTCGGGGCCAGGCGCCCTGCCTCCTCTGCCGGTCGGTCCCACGCCTGCGCCCACTCCCGGGTGTCAGGTCTGAGGCACCCCCAAGGGGGGCTTCCCCCATCCCTCCCCCTGCTGTCCACCCTGATGGTTGTCAGTAGGGCAGGTGCAGGGCCCGCCCCCTCTCCGCGCCTGTGGCCGCTGTGGATCTGCGCAGCCTCCGTGCCCCCTCCCCAGTCTACCGCAGTGCCAAGAGGGAGGGGGTGCTGCTGGGACCCCTTAACTTGTAAGGGCCGGCTTTGCCTGAGCTTGAGATGGCCAGGGCCTGGCGTCTCAACCGACCCTCCCCACACCTGGCCCTCCCCTGGATGGGGTCTAGAGGCTCACATACACACTCCTACAAGCCCCTTCCTCCGGTCCACACGCAACAGGTGTGGGTGCCTGACCCACGGACTGCCCCGTTTTTATGACCCTGGAGGTCCCTCTGAGCCAGTCAAGGCTGCCCTTGGGGGTCAGGGGTAGGGGTGGGATGACTCAGTAAACCTGAGTTTGTCATCCCAGCCGCCTCCCTTCTCCTGGGTGCCAGGACCCCCAGCGAGTTGGAGAGCCTTGGGGTCTGCAATCCCCTCCCCCCAGCCAGGCATCTCCAGGACAACAAACATACAAACAAACGGGGTCCAATGGCCCTGGGAGAGCTGAGTCTGAGGGGTGTGGGCAGGAGGTTGGGGTGGGTAGGGGACATTGGAGATGGGACACAAGGAATGTGCTCTGGGACTGTGAGTGCATGAGCGAGTGAGCGAGCGAGTGTGTGGTGTGGTGTCCCCTCTGCCCTGACCTGGTTGGGCTGTTCCTCACCCCTGGCCTCCTCCTGCAGTGCTGTGTTCTGACCGACCCCCACCGGTTAAGAAGATGACCCAGGAAGATATCCAAGTGATGTTAAACTTGCTGGAGGAGGTGTGTGCTGCCTGCCCCTCCCAGGCCAGGCCCTCCTGGATTCTGTCCCACGGGGTAGGGGTCTGTTCCTAGCCTGCCTGGCCGCCTCTCTCCGGTGGCTGGCATGGGAGGCTGCAGAGTGGGGCGTCCAGGTGGAGGGACTCTTAAAGCCCATTCACGATGTACTCTGGCTCCATGAGGGGAAACTGAGTCAGGTTCCACAGGGGGCCCATAGCAGACCCCGGGGAACTAGGAGCAGGGAGGGTTTCCCTCTGAGCCTGGGGACTCCTGGGAGCCAGGAAGGCGTTGCCCATGGGTGGTGGTCCCTCTGCAGAGAGAGCGGGACCTGAGTTCGGCGGCTCGCATCGGCCAGTCCCTGGTGAAACAGAACAGTGCTCTGATGGAGGAGAACAGCAAGCTGGATGCCATGCTGGGCTCTGCCAGGGAGGAGGTAACTGGGAGGGGCTGCAGGGAGGGGTGTGCCTCTCAGACCTCTCTGCTGTCCCCTCCTGCCAGGACCAGGGCCACTGCCCCTGCCGCTCCCCTACCTGGGGCTCCTCTCCCCTCCTGCCAGATTGTACACCTGAGGCACCAGGTGAGCCTGCGGGATGAGCTCCTTCAGCTCTATTCAGACTCTGAGGAGGAGGGGGAGGAAGAAGAGGAGGAAGAGGAGGAGGAGGAGGAGGAGAAAAAAGAAGAAGAGAAGGAAGAGCAGCAGTGTGATTCTTCCCGTGACGCCCCCCGGCTGTGAGTGTCTTGCCTCGGTGCTCCCCGGTCTCTTCTCTGAGCCTGGGTTCCCCATTTGTGTGCTGAGACGGAGATGCAGACAGGGTGCCTGCCCATAGTGTTGCTGGGTGGATGGATGCAGACTGCCACCTTAACCTGGGTGGGGGACCCTTGGGGGGTGTTGGGAACTGGGTACCCCGACTCCCACCATTCCCTCCCCTAGGACTCCATCGTCACTGCACAGATGCCCACAGCTGGAAGCCTTGCAGCAGAAGCTGAGGCAGTTGAAGGAGGAGAATGATCAGCTGAGAGAGGAGGTGAGGATGGGGGCGGGGCGCACCGCACTGATGAGGGGTGTTAACACCTCTGCCCCTTCCTCTCTCCCTCCCCTTCAGGCCTCCCAAATGGCCCCCCTGGAGGAGGAGGAGCAGATGCTCATGCTGGAATGTGTGGAACAGTTTTGTACGTGAGGATACATCTCGGGGGAGGGGCTGTTCCCTAGGAGAGGAGGGAAGAAGAGTCTGGAGTCTGGAGACCTAAGTTCAAGTCCCAGCTCTTACACTTCCTGGCTGTGTGAGCTCAGGCAACTTCCTTGACCTCTCTGAGCCTTACTCCCTCTATCTGTAAAATGGGCATTGGCTCTCTTGGGCCTGCTGACCTCTCCGGGGGTTACAAGGATCAAGAGAAACAATGGCAGGGGAAGTGCTTTGTGCAAAACTTGTGGGACCCCTGGTGTGAGAGGGGAGGTGGCCAGAATTGGAGGCAGCAGAGATGGGGCTCCCGGAAGCACCGAATGGGGACAGCTCAGAGTCCGAATGGGGACAGCTCAGAGTCCAGCGTTAGGCAGCAGTTGTGCTCAGTTCTGTCCCAGCCACTGTCCGGCTGGGGAGATGCAGACCCCAAAGTGGTAACAATCCTTCATCCCAAACCTTTGGCCTCCTTTCCCTGGGGTCCTCAAGCTCTCGCACCGGCCTTGCTGACCCCCAGGCCCCGAGCAGGAGTCAGCCCCTCCTCCCATTTCTTGAGAAACCCTTGCCCCGGCACTGCCTCTAGCCCAGGCCGCCTCAGGACCTCAGCAGTCTCTCTACTGAACGGCCCCACTCCTGCCCTGCCAGCCCCTTCTGCACCGGGAATGAGCGCTCTAAGACTTCACCCGGCCTTGTTCCTCCTTTGCCTCTAACTCTTCGGAATGGTCTCTCTCCCTGGCCGAAGGGTTTGACCCCACTTCCCTCCCACGGCCCGGCCACTCCTCTGCTGGGTCTGCCTCCAGATATCCCTACATTCATTCTGCCCAGGGACACCCGCCCCCTGTGCCTAGCCCAGCTCCGCAGTTCCTTGCTCCAGAAAACCTTTGGAGACCTTGTGCGGCCTGGCGGGGTGCCTGCCGCAGCCACCCACCCTTTAGCCTTGGGGGTTCCGTCTGCTCTAAATGGGAGCTCAGTGCAGGTGGGACCAGGTCTCACTGAATGCCCGCCCCAGTGCCCACCCCTGTGTTGGCCAACAATACACACGCATGGATACCAACGTCTGCCCGAGTGCTCAGCCCCGTGGAACCCTCTGGAATTCCACAGGAGCTGAAGGGTAGGGGTGGGCAGAGGCGTGTGGGAGGGTCAGGAATGGTCCCTGCAGGCCCTGGCAAGAGGCTGACTTTGCCACCCTGCCCCTCAGCGGAGGCCAGCCAGCAGATGGCCGAGCTGTCCGAGGTGCTGGCCCTCAAGATGGAGAGCCATGACCGGCAGCAGAGGGAGGTCAGCCAGCTGCGGGCCCAAGTGCTGAAGCTACAGCAGCGCTGCCAGTCGGTGAGTGTGTGTGTGTGTGTGTGTGTAGGTGGTAATGTGGGGCCCTCCTCCCGTCCTCCCCCCATGGGGCCTCTCCGGGGTTGCTGTTGCAGAATTGCCACAAGGGGGTGGCTTCAACAAACAAAAGTTGATTTTCTCATAGTTTACAAGACTGGCCGCCTGAATTCAGTGTGCCGGCTCTAGGCAAAGCCTGAGCCTTGGGTCCTTGGCGACCTGCATGTGGTGCAGGCTCTCCGCCTCTCCCTGACATCTCCAAAGAGATTGACTGGGGACCCACCCCGTGTGAACCCTGTCCGAGGAGCGCAATGCAAGAATCCAAATAGGATGGTCACCCTGGGCATGGACGTTGAGATTACAACACTGATTTGGGGAGGGAGCATGAGGCCCTCTGTTATGGACCCCCCCTTCTCACAGAGCCCTCAGTGCCCACTGCCCTCTCTGTGCCAGAGGCAGAGTTGGGAGAAACCTCAGGGAGCCTGCATCCTACCCACCCTTACCCCTGAGAGGATCGCAGGTCTGGCAGGAAGGAGCCAGCTGGCAGTCCCCCGTAGCCCTGATTGCTCGGGTGACTGCTTGCTTGAGGGGCCGTGGAAGACTCCCTAATGGGAGTAGGCAGCGCGGGTGGGTGCTGACCGCCCTTGGGCCCTTGCAGTATGGTGCCGAGGCGGAGAAGCTGCAGCAGCAGCTGGCGTCTGAGAACGACATCCGGACGCGGCTCCAGGACGAGGTGCAGCTCTGCCACAGAGTGGGGAACACCTCACAAGCAGGGGTGGGGGTGGCAGAGGTGCCCTGGTCTGGCGCCGGGGTGCCTGGGTCCGAGCTTGTGGACGGCCCCCCAGCTGCAGGCCCTTCGGGGGAAGTACGTGGAGTGCGGCGGCATGCTGCTGGAGGCCCAGGAGGAGGTGAGGACCCTCCGCCAGCAAGCCCGGGTGTCCACTGGCTCCATCGTTCATTACACCTACACCATGCCACTGGTGAGCACCCTCCCCGGGCGCCCCGCCTGTCCCTCGATGCCCTTCAGGGACCTGCCATCCCAACCGACCTCCGGGTGCCTGTTCTGTGCCTGGGTGTGCGGTGGGGCTGGGGGGGTGTCCTCTGGTCATGACCCCCTTCTCCACTGTAGGAGGCCATGCCTGGCTTCCAGGAGGCCCTGGCTGAGGAGCTCAGAGCGTCGATAAGAAGGATCATCTCAGACCCCTCCTTCTTCATGGAGAGGTGCGCTGCTGCGGTGCTCAGCTCCTGCACCACCCCACCCCACCCCCAGGGCCCTCGTCCTGCTCCCTGACACTCACTCACTCATTGCCTGGCCTTTCCACTCTCCTTGGTCTCCCCCGAGGTCTTCGTGTGTCTCCTTGGGGCTTTTTGCATGGCTGGGCCTAGGGACATGGCCGTCCCTGCTTCCTTGGCCCCTGCATGGTGACGGCCCTCCTCTCTGTTGAAGGAACTACGAAGGGGTCGCTGCGAGGGAGACCTCCAACCTGGGGTAAGCTGACCAGGGAGCCACCGCCACCCTCCCTTGCTCCCCGCAGCCCTCCGAAGGCACTGATCTGTAGGCTGCGGGGCTGAGAGTTGCCCTGCAAAGGAGGCCCCCTCCCACCCCCCACCCCCCCGCCTCCAGCCCAACTTCAGGCTGCTGTGAGTGGTGACCAAAGCTTTCCCTTCAGCTGACCAGAGGCTGAGAGGTGAATGAACACTCGCCTAGCAGACGGGAACTGCTGGACCCAGTCCCAGCATGGTCCCTTAACTGGCTGTGTGTCCTTACGCAAGCCACTTGACACTAATTAAGTGAATGCTAAGTAACAATGGAGGGAAGACAAGGGGGGCTTTGCCCTGCTGGTCTGACCCTCGCAGCAGGGTCAGGGTGCTAGGGAAAGGCAGGGTCCATGCACTGTTGGGGGCCCATGCCCGGGACTTAAAGTCCTGATGCCTTCTCTCCCAGTTGGCATGCAATTGAAGATTGACCATCGGGGTTTGTGTGGAGAGCTCCCAGGTGCTGGGGTGGGGGGCTTCCCGCTTCAGCCCCTTTGGTGGGAGGGGTCCTCAGGGTGTGGAGGAGCGTGGCTTGTGGGGCTCTGGAAGGCCTCCTGTCTCCCTGGGCAGATGTGAGACGCGGCCGCAGCCACGGAGGGTCCAGGCTGAAGCAGGCTTGCTGGCCGGCTCGGATTCTATATCTCTGGAGGAGCTGGTCCCTGATGAGCTGGTGCCCGAGGAGGAGCTGGGGCCCGTGGGGCCCGCGGAGGAGGAGGAGGAGGGGGTGATGGACGTGGAGCCGGAGGAGTCAGAGGCCTGGGAGGAGGTGGACCTGGATCTGGATGAAGAGACACCACCGCATGGGGTCACCCCGGCCCTGGAAGCCAGTGGCTCGGGCCCCTCACACCTGGACATGAAGCACGCCTTCCAGCAGCTGGCCAACTGGCAGGATACTCATTGTAGGCGGCCACTGAGGCAGGAGATGCTCCAGAGAGGTGAGTGCTCCCGTGGGGGCCTCCCTCCTCCCTCCAGCTGGATGAGCCCATGAAAGGGGAGGGTAGGTGAACCCCCCAGGTGTTCCCTTACCTAAGCCTGGCCTCACCCAGTGTGCTGATTTGCATGGACTTTGCATATCATCTTCTTGGGGCCTCAGGGCTCCCTCCTCCGTGGGGTGGGAAAGTGGCTTCATTACCCATTCACATGGACTCAGCATAGGGGCTCAGACGTCCACCCCTGTTCTCCTGGGGGCTCAGCTGGGGGGCTGTGGGAGGCAGGGCTGGGACAGGACCACCCACTGCGCCTCAGCTTCCTATTTGTGCCCGCCCTTCCCCCCTCCCCCTCCCCCTTCCCCCATCCCCAAGGCTCCCCGACCCTGCAGCAGTGGCAGCCGCGGGCCAAAGCACACACGGGGGGCGGGACCATGGAGCAGCGGCCAGGGGTGCCCACCCAGGACTTCCGGATGCTGGAGGGCAGGGCCAACCACCACCCCCCCAGGGTCTGGGAGGAAGCGGGGCCTTCTGGGGCCCCCCGGACCAGTGGGACCAAGGTCTCCGCCAGCAAGGGCCACAGTCGGACCAGACCCCTGGGTGAGTCTGAAGGTGGGCTGGGGCCTCCTGCAGGGTCGGGGTGGTGGTGGGTCAGGGCCTCCCTATCCCCAAGGTTGGTGAGCCATTTCTGATGTGCACCCCCATGTGTCAGGGTGGGAAGGCTTGCCTCTGGGGGACTTACTCACTGTCACCTGCCACCTTAGCACGCCTCGCTAATGCTCAGGGGCCACCCTTCACAGGAGTCCTTTCGCCCTGTCCCCCTGGGGGTAGGTAGTCACACCACAGTCTACTAGGTGAGGAAACAGAGGTTCAGAGAGCGACGGTCACTTGTGGGAGCTCACCCAGCTGGGTTCTAAATCCCGCTCCTTCATGGGGCCTGCCCCTGATCTGGCCCTCCCCTCTGCGGTACCCCAGTGCCCGTGTGCCCTGCTGGCCTCAGATGTTCACGGCCTGTTGGAAGCCTCTGCCGTGGCCTTCCTGCAGCATGGCGGCCATAGGGGACAGCCCTGGTCTTCTGACCTCGCAGGGAGGCTGTGGAAGGGTGTGCAGGTTGTAAACTGAACAGCAACCTCTGTGGCCACACAGGAGGCCACCGCAGACCCATCTGGGGTAGCGTCCCGATCCAGGACAGCTGCCCAGGCCAGGCCTGTGGTCCCTAGGCCCCCAGGTCACGGGCACTCCCTTCTCTTTCAGGCTTTGCTGTTTCCCAGCAGCCTGCAGAGACCCCACAGACAGCATGAGACCCCTCCTTCCGCTGCCGGGCCAAGCCCTGCCCCCCGCAGACCCTCTTCCCCGCTTCCCCAAACAGGACCCCTTGTCAGTCCCCAGCCCTCCCTCCGTCCTGATGAACCTGGGTCAGAACTTGAGGGTCCAAGCCTCAACCCTCTTTTGGGACAGGCTGAAGGAGCCCCAGCTCTTGTTCTGCAGCTGGTGCAAAAGCTGCAGTTGCTGGGCCTGGATCACCTGGTGGCCCAGGGGGCGGAGGAGGCCCAGGGGCCGGCCGACCACCTACCAGACTCAGCTCTGACCAAGCTGGGGAGCGGGGAGCGAGCCGCAGGGCCCAGTGCAGGAGATTGCTCAGAGCACCCCAACAGCACAGCCTTGACCCCGTGACTTTCACATCAAACGGGGCTCCCAAGTCCTTGGTGTTTAGGGACCAGACCCCGGTCGCCCTGTTCTCTGCCCTTTCCTCTCAGGCCTTGTTACCGTGGGAGTATCTCTGTGGGCGGGTGACCTATGATTTCCCAGGCTCCCCACCCAGGTGCAGCTAGCCCTTTCCCCTCAGTTTCTCCTTCTAGATGTTCTGCCCTTGCCTGCCCCTCATGCGTAAGCAGTTGGGGTCTGGGGCTCGGGACCCTCTTTCGGTACCTGCCCCGCCTCCCATGGTACTTCTCAGTCCCGGGTTGTCTCCTGTCTCCCTGCTGGTGCAGGAAATAAAGGAGTTGTTTGCTACCCGGTGCAGCCTCTGTCCGTCTTTCTCCGGGAGTGTGTGTGAGTGTGAGTGTGTGTGTGTGTGTGTGTGTGTTACTGTGTATGCACTCGTGCGCCTTGGGCGGGGCACAGGGATGGGGCGAGAACAGACAGACTCAGGCTGTGGATGCTCTGTGGGGGCTTCTTCTTCTCCAGTGTCATAAACCAACCCTGACCGGTCACTAGGAAGGGACTGCGTGTTGGCCGAGGGGTTGCTGTTTGGTGCCCCCGAATTGGGCCCGGCCGCAGCGACCCTGGGCCTGGGCCGGACTCACCGCTGTTCCTGCGCCCCAGGCCTGTGGACACAGCTGCGGGGTCGGACCATCTCTCTGAGGGTCTCCTTCTTCCTCGCTGCCCCTCCCTGCACGGTCCCACAACACGCGGTCCTTCTCTAGGGACTGGCCTCTCCCGACAGCGTGTCCAAAGGAGGTGAGAGGAAGTCTGGCCATCCTGGCTGCACCTCTTCCAGCACAGCTCCGCTCACCCCTTCCGCGGTCCGGGTATGCTTCTCAGCATCGCGAGTCAAATGCTTGATTCTCCTTCAGTCTCCTCACTCAGCGCCCGCCTTTCCCTTGCGGCTGAGGCCACAGAGGGTGCCTGGCTCAGGCTGGGCGCCTCTTGGTCGAGCAGAGGGTCAGGGAGGCCCTCAGTAGATGGAGGCCTAGACTCTGGTCCATCACTGGTCTTGAGTCCGAAGCCAGCCATGACGTCGACCCTCTTCTCTGCGTGAATCCCTCTGGGCTTCCCTCACCCTCGGCCAGCACTTCCGCTGCTTCCGGTTACGTCGCCTTGTGCTCTGGGAAGGTCTGAGCCCTGGATGGCTGTGCCCTTGTCTGACCCAGGTTACCGCACTTGTCTGTTCCGATTACTACCAGCCAGGGAGCTCCAAGGATTTCCTGGTGGCACCCCAGTGAACCCCGCTGAGTTCTAGATGTGCCCCTTCCTGGCCACATGATGGGCTGGTGACCCTGGTTCCTCCTGATGGTCGAGCCAGGAACTGCTGCTGGTGATGGGCCTTCCTGGGCCTGCTGGCCTGCTGGCACAAAGACCTCCGCAGGCCGCAAGCAGCTCGAAGTGCTAGGCTAAGGGACACCGTGTCTGTCTTCCCTGATGGAACCACGACCCCCACCCCTGCCACAGGACCCCCTGAAGAACCAGGCTCCATAATCCAGTAGAACCTAAAATGATAGGTTCTAAATTCCCGAGGTGGACAGTGAGAGGGGCCACTTCTGCTGCTCCTCCTTGCTTTCTGGCTACCAAGGACCCCAGAAGCCCAAACCCCTCCCCCTGCCAACGAGTCCATTCCGACGCAGAGTGACCCTACAGGGCAGAGGAGAACTGCCCCTTTGGGTGTCCAGGACTATATAGCCTTATGGGGGCAGACAGCCTCATCTTCCTGCCAGGGAGCCAGTGGGTAGTTTCAAACAGCTGACCTTGTGGTTAGTGGCCAGTGTGTAACCCGCCACATCAGCAGGGCAGCTTTTGGGAAGGCAGTGTTGGTCTCAGGCTAGGTCCCCACAGAAGCCCACTGGGAGATCGGAAGTGCTGGCAGGTCCCTGGGTGGCAATCCGCAGAAACGCAGTCTGGGAGTGAGGGAGCGAGCCCAGAAATCGGAGGAAGGACGTGTCCCTGAGCACATTCCACTCTGGGAGACAGGCAGCGTGAGACCCACCTCACAGCAAGCTGCCCCTTCAGGGGGTGGGGGGCGGGCGGCGAGAGGGCCGGGCTATGTGTCCTTGTCCTCCAATTCTCCCCTGCACTGGGCATCTCGGAGCTGCTTGGGCCCCCAGCATTCCCAGCCTGCCCTGTCCCCGGCCTGAGAGAGAGCCTGCCTCCCTCCCTGGGCCTGTGGTGGGAGACCATCCCCATGCACCCGAAGAAGGAGTGCAGACGGGGGCAACACCACCTGCTCTCGCCATTCTCTGGTCTGTTGAACAAATGCTTCCCGGAGGCTCCATGTGCCAGGCATTGTTCCTGACACGGGGGTGGGGGTGGGGGGGCGTACAGCAGTGAAGAGGGACTGTGTGGCCCCCACCCTCTCAGAGCTTCCCTTCTGACGGAGGAGGAGGCATCCGTTAGCAACCAAAACAGGCTGCGGTGGAGCCGTGGGTGGGTGGGGTGTGAAGGGTGAGGAGCCGGAAGGCTGGCCTCTCAGAAGGAGGCTTGTCCACCGAGACCTGGGGAGGACAGGGAGCCGGCAGGGACACAGCACTGAGCACTGACCTGTGTATGTCACAGGAGGAGAGAGGGGGAGGTGACAGATGGGGTGGGAGGCGGGCGGCAGTGACCCTGAGCGCCGGGGAAAGTACTGGGAGGTTTCAGTGCAGCACGACATGCTTTAATTTATCTTTTTAAAAGGTTGCTCTGGTCGAGAGGACCCCCACCCCCCATCATGTCCCACCTGCACCTGTCGATTCTTGTGCAGGGCGAGGCTCTGGGGACAGGGAAAGGAATGTCCCATGGTCCCTCCACTAGGGGACGCCCAGCCTCCTCCATGGCTCACCCCCACCAAAGACCCACTCCTGCCTCTTGAATTTAATAAGAACGATCCTCGGGAGCGATTTCCTTTTGAGAGTTTTATTTCTTTGTCAGGGGACCGGGCTGGGCTGGGCGCTGGCTCTAGGGCTGCTGGTCCCCTTCCTCAGCACTGCGGCGGCCAAAGTCCATCCACCCGTACGCCTCTTCCTCCTCCATCCACGGCCCCTGCTTCTTGGACAGATCTGAGGAGTGGGGCAAGGAGAAGGGTCAGAGGTGGGCCTGGGGGTGGGGGGGAGAGGAAGTGGGCTTTGGGGAGGGGCACCTAGCCTCTCTGGGCGGAGGCTAGGACCAGCCCGGCTGGGAGCTTGGTGAAACCAGGGCAACAGGGGCAGCTGTCAGTGGTTCCTACCTCCCACATGGTGTGAGGGGCCCTCGGGCCACAGCTGCCGCTGGTGACGAGGGGCTGGGCCCAGCTGGTCCAGCCAGAGCGGCTCCAGGCCCCGGTTGGCCCCTGGACCTGAGGGTTGATGATGCGCCAGGAAAGGGGATTTCCTAGACCCTTCGGAGAAGGCGGCCAGGGCCAGGGCGGAGATGAGCAGGTACACGCGCAGGTGCTGCATCTTCTCTGCAGAGGGGAGAGCGGAGTGGAGGGGCTGGCTGGGCTCCGGGTCCCTCTGCTTCTCTGTAAAGTTAACTCTGGGGCCCCTGTCGGTCCAGTGCCTGCCAGCCCAGGCTTCCCACGCCCTCTCTCCGCCATCTCCATCGGAGTGGCCGCCTCTCTTGGAGGTATGAAGAGCCTAGAGCCATGCGGAATCAGAGGCCATATCCAAGCCTCTGTCACCTTGTCATTGAAGGTAAAGGGTTAAATAGAAATTCCCAAAGGAGCGCGCGCACACACACACACACACACACACACACACACACACACCCCTCCTCTCCTAGTCAGCACCACCCGGGAGAAGATTCTCCTGCAACCTGAGTTTAGAGGAATAACCTTCAGGCTGACCTTGGGCTAAGGGCCTCCCTCATCCGGATGATGTATCTGTGTCTTTGTCCCTTTTAGGATTTAATAAATGTTCTCTTTCAATGATGAGAGAGAGGGAGAAATAGCCTGGGATGGCGATTTCTCTCTTTAAAGCCCTGTCACTGTGTGCTGCCGGAGAAGTCACACTACAGGCGCAAACGGTTCCTATGAACGTAAAATTCCGATGCTTCTCTGCTCTCTGGATTCGACACTCTGGGCTCTTATGGCCCCTTAGTCTGTGCGCCAGGAGGCCAAGTGGCCGCCGTCTGTTCAGGGCATCGTTCAGAAGCAGCGAGGGCTTCCTCGGGAGGCACCTTCTCAGGGAATGCTTCCTCTTTTTAGGGAACTCAGTGTTTCTCACACTTTGACTCCCGACAAGCTGCACCAGGGTGTTTGTGCATTCAGATCCTTCCCAGCACCCCTCCAGTGCCCACGAAACAAGCCCAAGGTCACCCTCTCTTCTCTCTCGAATAAAACCGGGAAAGACCAGGCGGAGTGGCCACGAGGAAGGCCGTGAGGGGAGAGAATGGAGAAGCCAACACCCCAACATCAAGCCTCCTGATCTCTGAGACCAGCAAGAACGGAAGCCCGGCCCTGGTTTCCGCACTTCTCTTGGCCGGCCCTGCGTCCCGTCGGCATTCCTGCTGGAGTTCTAACCCCTGGGAACCGGTTTGGAAACAGGGTCCCTAAAGGTGGCATCCGTTCACATGAGGTCAAGTTACACCGAAACCCCTGCCGTCCAGTCTATTGCGACTCCCAGTGACCCCCCCACCCCCGGCCAGGGGAGAGCGCAGTGGGTCTCCACCTTCCTCATGCCGAGACCCTTTCAGACAGGTCCTCCTGGGGTGGTGACCCCCCCAACCATACATTATTTTCGTTGCTACTTCATCACTGTCATTTTGTGACTGTGATGAATGGGGCGACCCCTGTGAAAGAGTCGTTGGACCCCCCAAAGGGGTCTCGACCCACAGGCTGGGAACCGCTGCTCTAAGGCTCTGAGCACTCTCACTGGTGGTGCAGCTAGTACCGTGGCTGCACGCTGGGCTGCTGTCTCTAAGGCTGGTGGTTTGAAACTACCTGTCAGCTCCCGGGGAGAAAGGTGGGTTTTCTACTTCTGTAAGAGTGTCCCAGAAACCCTCCAGGGGCGGCTCTGCTCAGCCCTCCTGGGTGGCTGTGGCGGCATCAGTTGGATGGCAGGAGAGGGCAAGCATCACAGGTGTGGGCAATCTCGTGTCTCTCCACGGAGCCGCTGGTGGGTTTGAACTGCCGACCTTTGGTTAGCAGCCCAGCGTCCGACCCGCTGTGGCACCAGGACTCCTCCTGCCAGAGCAGAGCGGTCCTGGTCTCCTCTGAGTGGAGGGACACAGAAACCGAGAGACCGAGGGGAGAGGTACCCTCCAGCCAACGGACGCCTGGGACAGCTAGAAACCCAGAGACCACAAAGGATGCTACCTCTGACCTTGGAAAGACCTCCGCCAAGCCAGGACCCTGACGGAGGACTCCTAACCTCGGGCATGGTGGGAAGACGACAGAGGCTTTTCCCCAGCTAGACAAGCCACATTCCAAGTGACTTGTCATATTGGATTGCATTGATGGGGGACATTTCCATCATGGGGGGAAAGCTTTAAAAAAGAGTCGGGTTGGGGTCCAGGAACTGTGGGGTCCAGTCTAAGCGCTGCCTCCCTTTCCCCATCTGAGAGATGAAGACACTGGCCCTCGTGCCCTTACCTCCGTGAGGGGGCTGGACAGGGCTCTAGCCCGAGCAGCAGGGCAGGGCAGAGGGCTGGGTGTGCAGGGTGGGTCCCAGACCCTAGTTCTGCCCAGAAATAAGGGAAGATTCCCTGCCTGAGGTTACAGAGGCGTGAGCCAGTGGTCTGGTCCCTTGATGGGGGGAGTGGGGTTCTGCCAACCCTCTTTGGACACCCCCCCAGGGTTCTCTCACCTGCAGAGGTGGATAGTAGGTGGTGCAGCAGCTGGGTGTCAGTGCTCTGCTCACGGGGAGCTCCAGCCCAGCCTTATAAAGCCCATGGGACCCGGTCACCCCCCTGCTCCCCCCCAGGAGGAACGGAGATGGGGCACAGGTGCCACCCACCCGCTTTGCCCCACCCTGTCATTTAGTGCCCATCAGTCAGTCAGCAGGGACGAGGGGGGAGGAGAGGAAGGGGTGGGGACTGTTTTGGTGACGGGCTGGAGTGAGATGGGGGACAGGCCTTCAGCTGGGCATGAGGGGCAGGCAGGACACAGGCTCCCTAGGCCTAGGGGAAGTGCCCCCATCACGTCTTAGGGGCAGTACCCCAAATGCTCGCCCCCACCCTGTGTCCCCCTGGGGAGTGGGCATGAGGTAAATGGGCTAGGTGACCCTAGATTCAAAATAGGTATATTTGCCAAACATAGATGTTTGAAGAGCAGGGGGCACATGCATGGGGGTGATGTATTGATCCCCTGTCCCTCTGCAAACACAACGTGCCATGGTTATCAGGAGCAATGGGCCGTGGGCTGATGACTTAGCCCTTCACATCCTGCTGGCCCTCTGGACCCCCTCCGCCCTCCTCTTACTGTGGCCTGCGGCCCCCTCTCCTTGGGCCAGCTGGGCTGGGCTCTATAGGGCCTGCAGCTTCCCCTCTCTCTCCCCAGGTCTGCTCCCACTCCCCACCTCCTGCCAGCCCCTACTGCCACCCCAGAGCCGCCCCCCCCTTGCCAATCCCGCATTCAAGTCTGTGGTTTTGTTTTCAAAAGGAGCCTGAGTCTGCCTCACCCAGTCCACAACTTCCCAATCCCCAAATGCATCTTAAAATAGTCAGTCCAGAAAGGCTTCACCAGAGAGGGTCAGAAAGTAAACTGGTCTCCTGGCTGATTTCTCTGACCATTTGCTGCTTCCGGCTGGTCTGGGTGGGTATCACTAGCTCTTGGCCTTTTTTTTTTTTTACTTTTTCCACAGTTGATACCAGACATTTGGCTCTCATTCGTACGTCACGAAGGGCCCTTTTCGTCTGGGGGAGTTTGCATGCCCCTTGGCGGTGGGATGAGGGGCAGTGGTACCCAGGAAGTGGGCTGCAGGGTATCCATGGCGACGGGCAGCGGATGTTCTGGGAAGAACCACTCGAATCCGCTCACTCCGTGACTCAGCAGACAAGACCAACGAAAAGGCAGGAAACAGAAGTGAACAGACCCATGTAAGCGCGGGCTGGTGATCATTAATGGAATCCCCGGCTTGCAAAGGTGGAAGGGCCTTTGAGGGGGTCTGGGGAGCGGCCTGGGGTGGGGAGAAGCTCTGCTCACACTAGGGGGGTAGGGATGCTCCTGTTGCCATGGTGATGAGAAGGGACAAGCCTCCGGAGAAGTCCTGGCTCGCCTGGAGCTCAGAATTCAGTTGCTGCCAGTGGTGGGTTTTAGGCTCCCAGGTGGTCTTCCCCAGGCTGGTGGCATGTGGGGTGGGGGTGGCCATGCCCCCAAGGAGGAGCATGGACCTCCCTTCTGCAGACGGCGAAGGCTGCTCTGGGCAGGCACTGGCCGGTGTCCTGCGCAGAGAGGAGAGGGACAGTTCTTGCCCACAAAACAAGGATAGGATCTCTTGGCAGTGGGCAGTGCTGGCTGGGAAAAGACAGGGTTGTCTTGACCCTAGGCCTGCCCCTGCTTTCTCCTCTAAGAAACGGGTCTTGTGAAGGTGAGGTGCATAAAGCCCCCCCCCTTTTTGGCTGAGTACCCTCCCCCTCCCTTAGTCCCTCTGGGCCTCAGGGAAATGGTTGCCGCTCACCAGGCTGCAGGGAGGGGAGATGGGACAAGATCTGAGCACACCCAAAAGAGTGGTTCATTGTTCTTGGAATCCAAGAGTCTCCCTCCCCTAGGAGGACTCAGAGGGACGCCTGCCTGCGATGCCGCTGACGAGGAGCCAGGACGAAGCCTATGGGAGCTGGGGAGGCCGGCCTCAATCGGAGAGGGTCAGAGTTTGAAGCTTGCCCGCAGCACTGATTAGCTGAGCGGGCAGAAAAAGGCAGTTTCGGGGCCTGGTGAGTTGATGATTAGATCCTGCAGCGTAGCTCCGGCCTGTCCCCTGGCTGTGCCCTGTCCCTCTCATCCTAACAGTGCCGTGTGCCAGGTGCTGATTAGCCCTTTAGCTGTGTGAATGAAGCTGCTCTTTCCCAAGACCTGAGAACAGCCATGCTGGTAGGTCCCCATCGCACAGATGATAAACCGGAACCTCCAGAGCAGGGTGGTAGGCAGTAGGACGCCATCCAGTGCTGTCCACACCCCAGTCCCTGGAGTCAATGAATACATGACTCAATCAATGACCCAGCATCCCCTACCACCCAGTCCAGTCCGGCGACCCTACAGGACAGGGCAGAACTGGCCCTGTGGGTTTCCGAGACTGTCACTCTTTACAGGAGGAAAAGCCTCGCCTTTCTCCCCCAGAGGGCCTGGTAGTTTGGAACTAGGGACCTTGCAGATCACAGCCCAAAGTGTCACCGGTACGCCACCAGGCCGGGCTCTCTGGATAGGCAACAGGCATCACGTGGCAAAAGGGGCCTTGCAGCTGGAATGAAGGTTACTGACTTTAAAAGGGAGGGTCCCCGGGGGTGGTGGTGCAGAAGGAGTCCCTGGTGGTGTAGCAGCCTCTGCGTTGAGCGGTTAACTGAGAGGTCAGCGGTTTGAAACCACCAGCTGCTCCTTGGGAGAAAAAGGGAGCTTTCGACCCTGTGAAGAGTTACAGTCCTGGAAACCCACGGGGCCGTTCCACCCTGTCCTGCAGGGTCACTGTGAGTCCAAACCAACTGGAGGACAGTGAGTTTGGTTTCGGGGTGGTGACGACGGTTTGTGCGGGGCTAGTATTGCGGAATAAAGACTGGGTCTTTTAGCTCGAGGGTCCCTGGGCTGAGAACCTCCAAGACCCAGGAGATAAATGATGCCGAGACACTTGGCAATTTCTAAGGAGCACCCAGGCCCACAGACGCTGCAAGGGGACAGGGGTCTTCCCCCAGCTCCAACAGAGGAGGAAAGCCGTCCATTCGGGCTGGTGTCCTGAATGTGGACCGCCAGCCTCCTAAACTGTGGGAGAATACATTTCTGCTCATCAAAGCCACCCCCTCTCGGTGTTTCGCTTACAGCTGTAGATGACTTCGGCAGGTGTGTGGTCAAAGGAACCTCACCGGGCTGGGCTTTTGGAAACAGGTCACTGTGGGTGTACTGCAAACACTGCCAGGGCGGCAGCTTCCTAATGGGTTCTTGACGGCGGAAAAGCGGGCGCCCGGTGGTGACCGTCATCCGGCTCTCGGCAACCAGGGCCTCGCAGGGTGTGATGGGACTGGGAGCTGACAGGGACACCTTGCTGAGGACGTGCTCTGGTCCGCGTGGCCGTCACGGTCTCTCTGGCCTGGGCACTGCGCCGAGGAAGTAGGTTCCCAGGTCTGGTCTCCCCGGCTGCCCCTGGCTGATTGCAGACAGGGCTCGGCCCGGCCTGTTTGGCCTGGGCGCAGTGTGGCCTCCGTATCTTATCAGGTCCGAGGACGGTGTCAGCCCTGAGTCTCTGTGATCAAATTCAGAGCACTCTTTGCACATTTCAAAAAGTGGGGGCTTGATCGTGCAGACCCAATGCTGGCTTCGGACGGCCGCGTTTTCCAGGGCTTTACCCTACCCCCCACCTCCCCACCTTGCCCCACGCCATTGATGTGTGGAGCATCACACACACAAGGGAGACGTGCCACATGGACACAGCCGTGGCATCCGACCAGGGAAAGCCACCCGGCAGATCCTCCCGGGATGTGCTTCTTTCTTCTCCCCACACGCCCCCACCTGCCCCCACCTCTTCCTTTCCTCCTGTCCCTCCTCTTTCCCCCTCCCCTCCCCCTCCCTCATCACAGCCTTTGGTGTGAAAATGATTTTCCTTGCTCGTTTTGAAGAACGATGTCACAAACCAGTTATCTTGATGAGATGGGCTTGGCTGGGCACGTCTTCCGGTTTTGTCCGTGCTAGGAGATGAGGGAACTCCTGACACCCGCTCCTCTTCTTGGACCCTGGGGACTGCTGTCTCCTCTCGGCCCACCACTTGTGGGCACCTTCCGTGTGACCTCCATCCCTCCTTGCAGGCCCTCCTGGCGCGCCCACCCCAGCTGGTCTCACGCTTCCCGCACCTGACGCCCCAGTTTGTCCTTCCACCTCAAATACAGCAGTCCCTGTCCTGCTTCCGAATGTGCCCGGCTGCTCTCAGCCAGGGTAGACAAGGGCGCCTTCCCCTCCCTCCCCCTTCCCTGTAGGCACCTGCAACATAGCTCCTGACAGTGGCTGCTGGCGCCCATGCACATTCACGTTCTGCCACCGGGCCGTCGCCTGGCAACCCCGGGACTCATCTCTCCTCCTTCCCAAGGTCATCTAATGCCAGCTTCCCTGTCCCTGTCGGGACCACCTGTCTGTGTCCACGGTCCTTTCCTCCTGTCCTGGAGCTCTGGCGAGGTGTGGCGCCAGCCCCTCTACCACAACCTTTCTTCCTGCCCCCCTTCCTGCTTAGAGACCACCTGCCTTCTGTTTTTCACTCATCCGTCCATTTAGTCAACAAAATTTCCAGGTGCCCACTTTGTGGCAGGCTACCGTGACCCTGGGGACAAGAGATTGACCAAGAAGCTCTTCACTCTGAGTAGGCAGGTTCCTGCGCTCATGTACACTGCTGCCAGTCTCCCAAGCCAAGAGGTAGAGGGCCTGCCTTGCTTCCATGAACCACCCCCTTATAGGTGCATCGTAAAAACCACTTCTAGACACTTGCAGGTTTGGAGGAGAAAGTCAGGATGGCGCCCAGGTAGAATCACCTGCCCCGCGCACCTGCTGTTCGATGAGAAATGCAGAGACAGGCATGGGAAGCCAGCCCAAGGAGAAAGTGCCAGCAGTGGGGGGAGGAGGAGGCGGGGGAGGGAGCGGTGCGCAAACAACACCGGGGACCTGGGAACAACTAGGGAATTAAAGTCAACGAGGAGGAGGATGTAGAGATCCTGGGGGTGTTGGAGCAGCAGCAATCTAGCCGAGAGAATTACTAAGAGGCAGAAGAAGGGCAAGCATGATGGTGGGGCAGGAGGAAGGTAAAAGGAAATGGGAAAGATCTAGGAAGCAAAGCTATGGATAGAGGTATAAACCTAGGTGTGCACTTATGCAAATATATTACTTCATAAAATAGAAGTATTGGCCTATGTACATATATTTATATGGCAATATATTGAGGAAGTGGACAGACTTTGGGCCTCTGCTCAAGCCCTCCCTCAACCCAAGAACACTTTGTTCTAACAACCTGACATTCTGTGATGCTCACCCTCCCGACACAATTGCTGAAGACAAAGCGGGTGCATAAGCAAATGTGGTGAAGAAAGCTGATCGTGCCTGGCTATCAAAAGATACAGTGTCTGGGGTCTTAAAGGCTTGAAGTTACAAAAGCAGCCATCTGGCAGAAAAGCAACGAGTCCACATGGAAGAAGCACACCAATCTGTGTGATCATGAGGTGTCAACAGAATCAGGTAACAGGGATCAGAAGACCCAGAACAAACAAGTAAACAAACAAACAAATAAAACATATTGTTGAGAAAAAAATTGTTGAGAATGAGGGGGGTTGGAGCTGAGACCCAAAGCCTATCTGTAGACAATGGGACATCCCCTCTCAGAAGGGTCACAAGGAAGGGATGAGTCAACCAGGGTGCAGTATAGCACCGATGAAACACACTATATTCCTCTGGTTCTTTGAAGCTTCCTCACCCCCCACTATCATGACACAGTGCTGCTTCTCACTTCGGGCTAGACTGGAGCATGTGCACTGGTACAGACAAGAGCTCACAACACATGGAATCCAGGTCAGGTAAACCCCTAGAAATGGGAGTAACAATACCAGGAGGGTAGGGGGAAGGTAAGGAGAGGAGGGGAGGAAGGGGGAACAGATCAAAATGACTGCTCCATAACCCCCACCCCTACCCCAGGGGGACAAACAACAGAAACTGTGGGGAAAGCGGTCTGTGTTAAGAGATGAAAATAATAATAATTTATCAAGGGATCACAAGGATGGGAGGGGGAGGGTAGGAAAAACAAGGAACTGATACTAAGGGCTCAAATAGAAAATAAATGTTTAGCGTATAATGATGGCAACATATGTACAAATATGCTTGATACAATTGATGTATGAAAGGTTATAAGAGCTGTAAAACCCCCCAATAAAATGATCTTCAAAAAAAACCCATTTCAATAGAGGAGACCTCACCTCACTCAGCTGGGGTCACTCTGTAAAGAGGCGGTACAGAGGGGGCGGGGCGGTAGGGAGAAGACCATTCCCAAATCATCAGGCACTCCTACAGGAGTGGTAAGGGAAACTTAGGACAAGTCAGGTCAGGGTGTGGGGAGGGGAGCCCCTGTGTTCTCCAGGTGGCGTTTCCAGTTCTGTTGATGGGTAAATGGGGAGGAGCTTCTTTCCGTTTGGGGGAAATGTTAACAATACTTATATAGACCCCAGGGGAGAATAAGCTGGAGAACTTTTGACCTAGTTTATTTCCAGCCGTTGGTGACTGTGGTAGTTACATCATCTGTTGTCAATTTGAAACTATTAAGAGTGAAGGGGTGGAGTCTAGCCTGTCAATCAGGCCGCAGCTTGATGACCTCTTTGGAGGTGCTATGGAGATAAATAGCTCACTGGAGGTGGGACACAGAGACATTCCCTGAGAGACATTACTGATGAGGAGCCTGATGGGGCTATGCTGATGCAGCCAGAGCCCTGGAGCTGGAGGAGCCATGTGGAGACCCACGCCAGAGCTGAGATGCTTCCACTGCCACTGGATCCACCAGACTCTGCACCCATTGGCCTGTGATCTTCCTGCACTCGGTGTCATTGCATGTGCTATGTGAGTCTGAAGGGGAATTTACAGACTGGTCCTGGACATATGGGTTCATATTAGACTTGTGGACTTGATCTGGACTGGGCTGGGATGTTTAGTTAATGTACAATTACTCTTTATATAAAGCTCTTTCCTACACACATGAGTGTCTATGAATTTGTTTCTCTAGTCTACCTGGACTAACACAGAATCCCAGGCAGCATGCTATGAACTACTGTGACTTTAGACTCTGTCCTTTAAGGAGCACAACACCGGAAGGGCTCAGTGTGGAACCCCACTAGGTGAACTGGGCTTTACCTCAAACTTACCTGTAGCCCTTGGACTTGAGATGGAGCCTCCCTGCTGTGAGAAGAAGCAGGTGACAGCCACCCCAAGGCTCTGGAATTGGCAGTCACTGGACTTTGGTGATGATTCCTTGCTTTGAGGGGCTCCATGAGATGCGGCCCAGGACCACATATCTACTATGTTGATGTCTTCTTTGCTTTCCTATGATATGTATTACTCTGATAGGCATGGTTCTGCCCTTATGAATCAATGTTATTGGAAATTTCGCCCTATCATCAACCCCCACGATCAATGTAACTCGTGCTCAGTCATTTGCGTTTGACCTGTACAACTGAACAGTTCGTGGATTGTACTCCAGAGCGTCTCTGTAATCGTTTACCTCCTATTCTCAACAGTGTGTTGAAGTCTGTCATTGGATTAATGACATTATAATACCATTAATTACCTTATGCCCCAAGGGGGGTGGTTAATAATATTCTCTGTCATAAAATGATAATGATGCATCTACATGAACCAGAGATGTTTATAAACCGTAGGTATGTGAATGGATTTTGGGTTTGTACTTATTTCTAGCCTCAATCTAAGAAAAAATTATTCTTATGACATGCCCCTGCTTGATGGTCATCTCATAAAGAGATCCGTGGAGACATGGGTGCTATAGCAAAGTATTGTGGAGAAAGCAGATGGTGCCTGGCTATTGAAAAGACTAATGTCTGCTGTCTTAAAGGCTTGTCTTCAAACAAGCATCTACTAAGTCCACATAGAAGAAGCACACCAGCCAGTGTGATCCAAGAATGATTAAGAATAAAATCCAAATCCGAAGGGGGGATTAGTATCAGTGCTTAAATTATGAGCACCCCATTTGCAGAAGGCTATGAATGGCAGTGGCAGCCCAAATCCACAGGCAGTTTCCCTACATGGATGAAGCTTCCAGTGAATCCCCTCTGACCACAGTTGAGGGAGCTGAATGCCCTTGGTACCAGACAGAGAGCACTGTAAACTCAATTACGGCAGATGTAATGAAGTTAGGATGTAATACCTGA